GTTGCGAGTGTAGGAGGCGAGCAGGGAGTTGAGCGAGTAGATATCTCTTTGAGACGTTTCATCAAACAGGTGGTGGGTCTGGAAGCCATTGAAATTGCATTTGGCGGGAAGGTGGAGGGAACGTATATGACGAGTTAGGGCGGTCATCAATTGGGGTGAGGGAACGTCTTACATCTAAGGTTATCCTCTCTCACAGGCACTCTCGGCTTGCTTCCTTCTCCAACATGTTAGGATATGGAAGCCAAGTCTTATACGGCGTTATTAAGGAAATATAGAGCCGGAAGAGACGCCGCATCCACATGGTACTAAGTAGTTTTGGCTGTCTCACAGCTAGTCATAATAATTTTACGGAACTTTAACGAAAAGCTTCCGGTACTATTTATTTTAACGAAATATCATATTTTTACATTAAAAAATTAATTCTGATACTATTCATTTTACCCTTTATTTTTTCATTATCATTAAAACCCAAAGTTTTCAAGTCATTTTCATTAGTTTTCCTTAATTTTATTTGAATTCGTCTTTATGAAAATTAAATTTACAATCTCTTACAAAAAGAAATATCACTAGACCGTAGTATTAAGTAGTTTTGAAAAAAAAATGATTTTGACAACTAATCTATATATATAAAGGGAGAATGCCAGTTTGGTGAAGTATTCAAAATGCCAAGAATGCCCTCACTTCAGAAAAAAAAACACAAAATCATCCTAATATAATATGGTTAAAATCGTAATACGCAATTATAATAGGGTTGAAATCATAATACACACAATATAATATTCGAAGATGTTTTTACAACTGTTAGATGAAAGATATCCCCATTCAAACAAATTGTGACCCTTCAGATGAAAGACATTCTACAAGCAGTTGCTACAATGGAAACTGCAACCAACCGCATGATCAAGAGGCCATAACGGCTTACTCAATCCCCACTATTCATAGAAAAAGGAGAAACGAACTCAATCGCACATAGCCGTTTCTCACATTGTCTTATTTATGCTTCTGCTTCATCCACTTTCATCGTCTTAAATTTCGTATTCATTTTGCTCAGTTTTTGTTCAATTTCGATAAGGTATTACAGCTTGGAGCCAATTTGCAGATTTTAAAAATCGTGGATGCTGGGCAAAAAACGCTTGGACATGTAATTCAATTTCAATGCCAAGACCGTTCGTTTCTTTTGGATAATTTTGATCTTATGCTGATTTCGACTGAATTCTAAAAAAAAAAATTAATTTGCCTTAGTTTAATTTGTAGTTGTTCATTTCTGATGAAGAGCTGTGAATGTTCTGAATTACTATAGGTTTAAACTAACGATCTGTTCAACAATATGAAATTGCTTTGTGTTTTAAGATCTTCATCCGAATAAAGTTTCGTTATTTCGTATGGTGGACATCCGTTTGCAGTTCGGAGTCGATGTGCGTATTTTGAAGATGGTGTATGCTAGGCCAAAAAGGCTTGGACGGGTAATTCAATTTCAATGGCAAAGACCATTCATTTTTTTTTTTTTGAATAAGTTTGGTCCTCTGCTAATTTCGACCAAAAAAATTTAATTTGCTTAGTTTAATTTGTAGCTTCTCTACTCGAAGCGTCCTCCCTCCTCCTACTACCCCACGTCACTCTCTTCTGGAAGAATTTGTTTACAAATTGAGAGATTGAATTGCTGCTTGGAAATTCGGAAAATTTATGATCTTTGTATGGTATTTTAGGTTTAGGATACAGAAAGATTGTGTCTTTGATGTAAAATTAATATTGAATTTGATGAACTTGATTAGATTTTGCATTGTTTTAGGCCACTGCATATTAAGTTTGTGATAAAAATTAAGGATTGTTTGTGTGGTTTTTTCCGTATTCATAATTGTTCAACATAATAAAAATTAGAGTTTTTTTTTTTGGTGTGTTGATTTTCAGGTACTCTGTATTAGTAATTGCTTATTTCAAAAGGGAATGTGGGGATATGATAGAACTTTAAGACATTTCTCATGTGGATTTTTCTTATAAAAAAGGTATGGTATTCTGTATGATCTTACCTACTTTTTTTTTTTGAGTGTCGTGTGATTGTTTTCTAATAAACTTAGGCTATCCATTTTTTTTTTCCTTATCTCTTTCCTATGTTACTTACTGTAGGGATGCATCTGAGTAGTTTTACATGAGATCTAAATGGGAAAAATAAAAATAAAAAAACCTTTTGAAGATAACAAAATGAATACTTATGGCAAGAGGATCAAAGTGCTCCCACACTTGTGATTCTAATGGAATGCAATATGATTACCCAAAAACCTTACACAGTTAAAATAATTGCACTAATTATACAAGAGAAGTTAAACTATAAATCATATTCAATCATGAGGACAAATAACCCTGCAGAAAATTGTTCATGCCCATAATGTGGTCATCCGAATTTTGTATTGACTGGTCCATTGATTTTTCTGAAGGAAATCAGAATATATGTTTGTTGCCTGCGATATGATTGACATAGTTTAACTAGATTGAAACCAGACATACCCATCTAATGTATATGTTGTATGCATTCGTCATCTTTAGGGGCGTGTAGTGCCCGTGATTAAAAAATGCCTCTCACATGAGTGTAAGCGTATGTGGAGATATAAGGTTTTGATTTCCCTCATTTTGATATATGATTGGATTTTTATTGTAGTAGATTCAATTTGCAAAATTACAATTGCTTTGCTCTTAGTTCTCCATGATTGTTTTATCTGTAATTGTTTCATATCTTTTCATTCCATATTTTTTTTTTTCCTGACTGGCCAAGAACAAGATAAAGTTTTTTGATTGTTTGGCTCGACAAGGAACAATAAGCATTTTTGCAAGCCGTTTGAAGTCCATCCAAATAAGAATTCAGGACTATGTGTTGTTTTGCTTAATCAGGTTTTTGTTTTGGGTTTTATATATCTTAGTTTCAAACAATTCTATATGGCTTCATTTGTATGCTTTTACTTCAATGTTTGGGTGAGAAGTTGGACGTCTTCTTCATTTGAAAAATAAATAAATAAATTTCCTTTTTTCCATGGTGATAAGTGCAAAGAGAATGAACCATTGGAGATCTGCTATGCCAAAGAGAAAACAAGTATGGAAGATGGAGATTAGTTCTTGATTGCTCTCATTGTGGAGGACAAAAGTATAAACATTAAACACAAAGGTTTTTGAATTATATGTGGATTGAGGAGAAAAATATAAGAGTATATGAAATATAATTTTGCTTTCCGTGTGTAGTGAATGGAATAACAAATTTCTGTATAATTTTTGTACTTCTGCAAACAAGTACCGTCTGATAGCGAATTGTCAATTTTACTTGCAATTCGTGACAAACAACATTTTTAATTTGCACAACATTGACATGCCAATGTCTAAAACCTAATATAAATTTATAGGTTCAATTAGCATTTGATTTAAAACCAATGCCTATAGAGAAAAGGATATCAAACCAATGTTTTCGGAGCAGCTGGGTGAATTCTAAAAGCATGTGCTACAAATTGCTTTTCACTGGTAGGATTTCATTTCCTTGCAAACAAAGTTAACTTTCAATTCCAGAGATTTTGGATTCTGATTCAAGATCTTTGGTTTCGTTCTTATCATCAGACAAGGTCTTGAGAATTTAATGCCCGTAGAAAAAAAGATATCAAAACACTTTTGTAATTCATCGTCTCTGCATAAGATTGCAATCACTTATATCTAATACGTACGACCAACAATCAATTTAGTTTTATATTCAGAGCTTCACCATTTTCTCTTGATACATTTTTTCTGCATTTTGTACTGTAATTGCAATTGTACGCATTCATTTGCTACCCCAACTTCAGAGTGAATTAAGGTTTTTTCTGCATTTTGTACTGTACTACATTTTTTCTACAAGTTCATTTTTCAAAAATACAATGTCCAAATTCATTTTAGTTGTACTCTATTTGTAGTGCTGATGTTGCAAAATTTATTGTCATCATTAAAGAATGGATTTCAAAGATAACAACATGGGTAATACTAGGAAGACTAAATTTGTAGACAATATTTGTGATTTTATCTTTCTTAATAGTCGGAAAAATTCAGATTTCATACTTATTTGTTTTGGTGCATGTGATAAAAAAACGTTTGATAATGTGGCACCAATGATGAAAAAAAATAATAACAATGACTACAAATTGGCATACGTGGTTTCGACATATATAAAAGTTCTTTGGGTGTAACACCCGGAATTATAGAATAATACGCCTTGACTATGTGCATTAATTAGAAAGCATGGTTATAATAATAGTTTGTAACACAATCGTAGAGAAAAAAAATATATCATAAGGAGATGATTGTAAAAAATAAAATAATAAGAAATTGTTATGACATTCTCACATGCATAACCAAAGTAACACATTTTTAAGGGCGCGTAGCGCCCGTGATGAAAAAATGTCTCTCGCATGCGCATGAGCAAGTGCGGAGAGGTTGGTGTTTAATTAAGCGAAAATGCTAAAGAGGGCACATATTTTTTACCACATTCATGTGGCGTGTGATGTGTACTTGACACGTGAATTAATAAGTTCATGTCATTGAATGTTTGTTATATGTATCAGTTGTAACATCACATTGTACATGAATGTGGTAAAATAATATACCCATACTATGAGTAACTAGGAGGGGGGAGAGGATGCATTTTTTATGACGTAAAATTGACCTAAACCCTAGTGCAGAAAACAGAACATGGGCACTACACTAGACATTTAACAATTTACAACAACCAAATGTGTATAGAAGCAAAAAGACAGATACAATCATAATTAGTAGCAGTATAAAATGATAGAGACCAACAAGAAAAGGGTCAAACTCCTGCAATCATACATCATGAGGCGTCATGATTGTCACATGCAAAATAGTCATCTGTAAGCCTCTTTAGCTTTTATAACTCAATTTTTGTCTTTTAAGTTTGGTCGGGTGGAGATTTAACATGTTCCTTCTTTTTATTTATTACATATGCCTTTACTTCACAGAGAATGTGCCCGTTGGTCTTCCAAAATTTGAACATTCAACCACCATATTTCATTCAATTATAATTTACCCAACAACTATTCTTGTGAGCTAAGGATACATAATTACTCGCGGTAAAAAAAAAATAAAAATAAAAAATAATCAAATTACATGATATTAATGGGCTGCATGCGCAAAAGCCGGCGCTACCGCTCTTCGGAGTTGAATTTGTTCCAAGCTTCCTGTATTAAACCAGACCAACAAACAAAATCAAACAAGTGAAGAAGAAGAAGCACAACTAGAAATCACTCAAGGCACAAATAGACAAATGCACTTGACGCACCTTTAGAAGATCGAAAACTTTCTCGCATATGTACTTCTGTTGAATGCTTGCACCCCGTTGTTGTAATTTGTCAGGATGAACGCATAGAGTGGCTTTCCGGTAAGCTCTCTTTACTGCTGCAGCTGTTATGACTTCTGTCAACGGAACGGGCTGCCAACCACTATCAGCACCAAGGATCTGTCAATGAAAAACATCTAGTCAATTAACCACTTGATAGAGCCTAGCTCTATGCGACTGAAGATAATAGGTTCATTTGCTGATACGTTCTATTTTTGTTAAATTAAACTCAAGAGATCAAGGAAGTCAATGAAGAATGAATGCCAACACGTATGCAGATCAATAACACCTACATATTGCAAAGTTGAAAGCAATGCACGCAAGTTGCCTTCTTTTCCACTTGACCACCTCCTGACTTCCGCATCCAGAGTCTCGGCTAATCTCTGCAAACAGAATTAGATCCGAGCCAATCAGCGAAAATGATAAAACAATTCGAAGTCATAAAAGTTCATTTAATGTGGAGAGAATAATTACATTTCTCTCTGCTTGCTCTCTTTGTGCAAGAAGATCGCGCGTATTCTTCTCCGCAAGAGCTTTTGCCTGAAACAGTCCCAGAAAGCTTGGAATTATAATGCCAGGTAAGACTAAACCACTCATAGATTATAAATGATTTAAAATCATACCGCTCGTTCAGCTGTTCTAGCATGCCTCTCTAGCCTAGCTTTACACCTTTGGGCTGATTCACCTTCCACCCCCTCATATCTCTCTGTAATAGAAAGTTTCAGAAAAAAAAAAATAGTTTAGAGCCAACTGAGCAATAACTCAAATGTTGATGGAAACTATGAAAAAGTTTAAAGATTGCTTGAATAACCATTGGAGCATTAAAAAATCACATACCACCATATACTGAGGAATATGGATATCTTGATCCCCTAGTGCTGTCCGGTAGATCCTATGAATTACCAGCCAGTTCAGATAGCTGTTTGAGAATATGAATTAATTAAAAGGATGATAAATTCAACAGGAAAAAAAAATACTCACCGACGATGAAGAGCAGTGCCTTAAGCCAATATTTGTAGACGAAGTATAGAATTTATCAGAAACAGATCTTTGCACGCGCTCTCTTGCTTCATATACAGCCCTTTCAGCCATTGCTTTTTCTGCAGCACGCTCTCGAGCCTCTGCAGTTGCTCTCTCTACTGCGGCACGCTCTGCCTTGAGCCTGGCCTCCATGGCTGTCATCCCTGCTAATGACTTCTCCCTGGCCTCTGCACATGCCTTCTCCAGTCTTTCACGAGCCTCTGCCATTGTTCTTTGTCGAGCTTCAGCTGATGCTCTCTCAATAGCAGCTGATTCTGTCCTATCACGAGCATCCAAAAACGGCCATTCACGAGCTTCAAGTGTCGCTCTATCAACAGCCATCCTATCTTTTTCTCTTTCTCTCTCCCTTTCTCTTTCTTCCTCTATCTTTCTAAGGCGCTCATTTTCAAGCTCTCTTTCTCTTTTCAATCTTTCATTTTCTTTTTCCCCATTTTTAGGGGTCTCTTTAAGACTCTTCTCTTTTCTCTCTGGGGGCTGACCTGCATTAAATTGTCCAGATGATTTCTGGCTGTTTAATTCTGTCATGGCGGGATGAGCTGCTGCTGTTTTCCTTTTATTTTCAACAAACTCTTTCACCAGTTTAGGCGTCGAGTATTCTTTCTTGTTTTCTTCTCTGATTGAGGCAGCTTCAACTTCCTTTAAGTCCTTTTTAGCTTCATGATCAAAATCCACTTGATTAAATTGCTCAACCCGTGGTGGTCCAATGTGACTGCCAGGTTCTCCGGCTTTCTTCATGTGAATGTCTAAAGGAACCGACTCATAGGCATCTTCCACTGCAACTTGGCTATTTCCTTCTTGTGTGCTTTGCTGGGCCATGCCAGATTCTTTGAGCTTTTCATCAACCGGCACATTGTCAATTTCAAATGCCCCCAATTCCCTTTTGCTAGCTTTAGGTTCAGCCCTAATTTCTTCACTTGCTTTCTTGACACTATCATCTACTGGAAGAGACTCACTGGCATCTTCCCTTCTGAACCGGTTCTCTCCATTTTCTAAATGGTCTGCAGATGTGGCAGATGCTTTAAGTTCCAAATCAATCAACATGCTTACTCGTACTACTTCTGGCTGTGTATCACTATTGTTGTGTTCAGTCCTTTTCTCTCCATTTCCTTCATGAGCAGGGACTTCTTGTGTTGCTGCCACTGTTTCACTGCTTTTATCATGCTTATTGGATATTTGAGTCGCTTGAGAGTTCTGATTACAATCCTGGTTACATGTATCATCAGATACCCTGAGATCCTCCTGTTTCATGTGCAAGGTCTGACCGTTTTCATTCCTCTCTGTCCCCTCATTTGTTGTGTTTAGGACATTCAGTTCTTCCCAGTCACCAGCAACTTTAGCAGTCTTCCCAGTCTGTTCCGACTCATTAGCCTCTTCTAACATGCTTTCAGTTCTAACTTGCCCAAAAGTTTCATTTAATCTTCCCTCAGTTCCTTCTTTGTCCTGAGCCTTTATTAATCCATTTATGTCATATTGCTGCTCATAAGCATGGGCCATTTTTATTCTTTGCTCAGCTTCCTTTCTTTTACAGGCATCTTGTTGTCTCTTCTCATATTCTTCCCTCTCGAGAGCTTCTTTTATCCTCTTCTCATATTCTTCTATTTGAGTAGCCTCTTTCTGTTTCTTCTTATTTTCCAGTTCAGCAGCCTCTTTTAGTTTCTTCTCAGTCTCTCGCAACTCAAGAGCCTTTTTCAGCCTTTTCTCATTTTCTACCTGCTCAAGAGCAGCCTCCTTTAACCTCATCTCATTTTCTACCTGCTCAAGAGCAGCCTCCTTTAACCTCATCTCATTTTCTTCCTGCTCAAGAACCTTGTTCAGTATCTTCTCATTTTCTGCTTGTTCAAATGCCTCTTTAAGCCTTATTTTATTCTCTTCCTGCTTCAAAGCTTCTTCTTGTCTCTGTTCAAAACTTTTCATGCCACGAGATTCCTTGAGTTTTTTGTCACTTCTAATTCTTTTATCATTTACCTTCTTCCTGGCCTGCTCTTGAACCTCCAGCACAATGTCATGCTTTTCTGATTTTTCAGCATCTCTTTGCTTCTCAGGTTCTGCAGGTAGAGTCCCCATTCTAGAACTCATCTCATGCTGTCCGTTCTCATGAATTTCTTCAGCCACCTTCACCTTTTTGTCATGCTCTTTTCGACTGCATGCCTCCTTAGATGCTTTGGGTCTTGCATTGCATTCCTCCCATCCACGAGGTTGCTTCTCTGTTTCCTCTTTAATAACTGCTCTTACTTTCTTATCGATTTCTTCTTTCTGCTCTAATGCTTCCATGGTTGCCTTTTCTTTATGCCTGTTCTCGTGACTTTTTCTGCTCTGAACCAAAATCTTCTCTTTGTTTTCCAGCTCAAAAGCCTTCTTGGACTCATCAATTGCCGCCAATTCAAAATATTGTGTTTCTTCCTGCCATTCATTAGCATCATCAATTTTGAAAGACCCATTCCCATGCTTCTCTTGTTCAAAATGTTTAGCCACATTTATGAATACTTCATCTTCTAAAAATTCTGGAACTTCTTTGGTTGTCTTTGAAGATTTCCGCCTTTCCTTCTTAACAACAAATTTCATTCTACCATCTTCTCGTACAGAAGTGCCCTGCACTCCCTCAACTTTCACACCATTGCAGTCATCAACAATTTTACCCACCATTCCTTCCTTCTCTTTCATTTCTTTCTTTGAACCCGATGTTGTACGGGTTTGGAATCCGTCTTTCCTCCTCTGCATTAACACTTTTGCACTTTTCAGTTGTACTTTAGCTTTCTCCATTGCTTCTCTCATAGCAGCTGCAGAGATTGCAGCAGATGAACTTGCATCCACTTCGACATCAAAGAACCGGGGTGAACTATCACCTGCCGTCCCATCAGAAGCAATCGTGTTAGAATTTGAGGACAATCTACCAGAATCTCCACTGCTTCCATCCAGTATGGGCGGTGGTCGAGAGGGTGGTGGCAACTGAGAGGGCTGAGTTCTAAGGCTTATGTCTGATACAGTCACAAACGGCCTTCTATGATGAGAACCATATCTACCATTTCCTCTTTCATGTTTAAGGTTGTCTCCAAATGCCTGTCCGGAAGAACTACCATTAGGGGGGAGTGACATGGTCTTTTTGAGATAATTTTGATTCACCACTTCCACAGTGGAGTTCATATTTAATTTGCTATCATCAGCTGCTTGAAGGATTGGATTCTCATGTTCTGTCTGTTGGGAGGGAGTGATTTCATCCAGCACATATGTGTATCCAGGAACAACATGTGCCTGAGTTACACATATGCCATCCCGTTCAAAGAATCTTTACTGCTTGTTTGATGAGCTGTATGATATGCCATGCTGAAATCTTTACTGCCATCAAATGACTGGTAAGGATCTCCATTTGAGCATTGGTTCTTTCCGCAATCATCCGACCCTTCTGACAGAGAACCAGATTCTGCAGGAGTCCTATGAATGAGGAAACCAGAAAAACATATTCTAACATCAAATTCTAGCATTACATGGTTCAAATTATGTATATAGAAAAAAAAAATCTTTTTATTCCTCATTTACTATTGCAATGATAGACAAAGCAATTATGTTTCTTGTTCTTTCATACTTCCACGTGTAAAGAAATTCACTCAGATACATTAGTACATGATTAGATTGATCAAGAAGCTTATCAAGAGGGGTGTTGAACACGGGCTGTGTCACAACCTTCAACCCAAACAACCCACAGATCCTAACAGAGAAGTTAGTCTCCAACTCCGGCTAAACACATTTATCTCGCCCTTCTACAATCATAGAAGTCAAAATTTTACTTCAATCGAACTTTTATCATATAAATAACCTCCCCTAGGACGCTATTTCTTACTTTCTTTTTTCTATACAATCCCTATTCCGGGAGGCCCGATTTGAACACAGAGCTCGGGTGCAAGAGTAAACGCGCTACAAGTTCCTCACGGTCACTATTTCTTACTTATCCAACCGGAAAAACCCAGATCAAAGGTTATTAATTACCTCATTAAATCAACCCCAATACCTAAATCCACAAGACTTTGTTTTGTTTTGGTCACCAAGTTTACACTTCCCACTCAAAACTCACAAAAAATAGAAAGACACAGATTTTTCCCCAAAATGCCATTCACATTTCAGTAAAAAATAAAAATAAAATATTTACTTAGGAAACAAATTTTGACTGAGAATTTAACAAAAACATGCATGATCATACCAGGCTTCGTCGGAGGAATCGCCACCGCCGCCGCCGTGGGATTGATCAGCCAGGTCGTCGTACGCGACGGCGAAATCCAGGCCGTTAAAGCCGCCGAAGACCTCGCTGTAGTCGAAGCCGGAGCTCCGCACATCGAAGAAGACCTCGTTTTCGTCGACGGCGGGAACATCCAGCACCGGAATCGACGAGGCGCGTGACGCGTGGAAGCTCCCAAAAATCTCGCTGTAGTCCTCCAGGCGGGGCGAGAGGGACGAGAGGCCGAACTTCGGCGGACCGCCGTAAACGTCGTCGTAGAGCGTCTTGGCTAACAGGCCGCCATTGTTCATCATTTTCGCGGAAGAAGACCTGTTTGGATGCCGAGAATGTGATAAATTATCCATGAGAGAGAGAAGAAAAATTCGCGTTTCTAGGGTTTTGAGTTTCGAGGCGTTTCGTTTTCCTCCCTCTCGCTCTCTAACTTTTTTTCTCTCTCTGCTCCTGAGTGCAGAGTCTCAGGACTCAGAACTCGGACACAGGCCGACGAAAGTGGAATTAAAAGGAAAGTCTGAAATTACCAAAAAGGACTCGTATAATTGCATGACGAATTTTCCTTTTACCTTTTTCGGATTTTGCAATTTTTATGGATTTGGACAAGTGACGGGGTGTAGCCGGTAAATGGTGGACAACTGGAAACTTTTGAGTATAACCTCGTTTATTAATTACATGTTATTTGCTGAATGAGAATTTTCGTATATCATGTGCGTATGGTATCAGTATGTACTGAATGCTTCATTCAAGAAGCACATTCTTTCAAAAAAGTATTTTAGTAGTATTTTTGTAGGATTTATTTGTATTTTAACTAAGGATTGGTTCAAAAAATATTTTCATCAAAAGCGCTTTCATCAATATTCAAAGCACTTTCAAATAAGCTCTTATTATTCAGCTAAAAAAATGACACTCCAGTTAAAAGTTACGTGAACATTCCAAAAAGTCCAAAGTAACAACTTTCTTGATATACCAACAACAAATAATTTTTTTTTAACAAACAATATTATTTACACTATGAGATGGGGAAGTGGCTAAGCCTCACAATGTGCTAGCAATAATGTGATTTAAATTCGTATTTGGTAAAAATCGAACCTAAGACATTTCACTTAATAGCAAATGACCTTTTAACTTATGTATAAAAGTGCTTCCTTCTCTTATTTTATTTTTTGTATTTAATCATAAATATTAGGTCTAGTTTGAGGTTGTTGTGCTTTTTTTAAAACTACTTCTGCTGTGCTATGAGAATAAACAACTGTGAAAATAAACAGATAAGTATTTGGTAAACTATAGTGACAAAAGTGCTTTTAGCAACAAAAAAAAAGGTGTCAAAGATGAGATAGGATTTCAATATGAAAGTTTCATTAATTGGTACTGTTCACCCGTCTCCAATGAAAAAAAAATTGAGAAGTATGTGTAGCTCTGCTTCTGTTTTCTGTTGCTTTGGTCTTTTTGAACCCATGATTTTGAGAAGAAAAAAAAAACATTTTTTTTTTCATTTACCAAACACAAACTCCAAACCAACCCTTATTAAATGGATATAAGTATATTACTAAATAGATATAAATATTATAAATAAATTACTAACATGACAACGAATATAACTAAAAACAAGTGTGTACGAGATGCTATAAAATATGTATGTTTATCATTTTAAAAAAATGAAATGAGAAAAAGGGCAACTGGGATGGGCAATTTGGGTTGCAATCTTTTAGATAAGGTTCAATTTCAATGCATCAAAATGTCCAACAAAAAGGGTCCCAATTTGAGTACGATGAGCAAAAACCTGATTCCCGCATAAACACTTTGGGAAGGACTTGCTACAGAGAATAATGACAAGGCGCCTTGTTTGCTAGTATTTCACTATTTTGTGGGGTGGGTTTGTAAAATTGATGAACTTAGAGGGAAACTTTGGCAATTTACAAGTGAGTAACTAGTTGCATTTGTCTTTGAACAAAAAATAAAAATAAAAAAACAAGTTGCATTTATCTTGGTATTGACATTCATGTCGCGTTTTTCGTGTTCGTAACATATTTGATATCTTAACAGATCGTATCGTGTAATACTCGTTAAAATAAATGGGTAATATGACCCAGCTCGAAATCCACCCGTTAAAATGAACTGGTAATATAACATGACCCGTTATCCATTAAAGAAAATATATTTTAAACCAATAAATAATGAAAATGAAAAACATAATTCGACCAAAGAAAAGGAAAACATTATAAAATTAGTATATGCATACCACATTGTCACATAAATATTAATTCAAAACATAAAAAATAAAATAAAATAAAAACATTTATCTTGCAGGTATTACGTATCCCTTTCTCAAAAAAAAAAAAAGTATTACATATCCCAAAATAAGAGTCTAAAGAAAAGACATTAGTACATTACTACATAATACTAAATGTTTAAGGATATATAAAATGAAGGGAGTTGCGTTTCAAGGTTGAGGAACCTTGCAAGTATTTTACAATAAAACCATTTCATTTCCATCAATCACCAAAGGAAATGGTATTGGAATTTTGGCTTGATATATTGTCTTCAAAAATTATATTGACGATGTTTTTATTAAGGCTTTAATATGTTTTATAATGTTTTGAACTCACTCTTTGCCTATTGTGTACTATAAAAATAAATAAAACTTAAATTTTTTTAATTTATATAGAATAATAATATAATAATACATATTTAATATACAACATATATATATATATATTGTCTATGACTATTGTATTTTGTAGTAAGTTTTTTTAGTATACAAAATTAAAATCATCAAAATAACTGTTTTCTTAACGTATCGAAACAGGTTATCCACATGTCACCTTTGTGTAAACTTGTTAAGTACCCGTTATTAAGGGGTTATTCTCGTGTGACCCAATAACAACTCGATTAGTTATCTAGTTAACCCAAAACCCTTTATTTTGATGTCGTTTACATGTCGTGTTAACGGGTCGTTTAAGAAATTGCCAGGTTTATTGGAGATGGAGGGGGAGTGGCAGATCCAAGATTTGAACTTAAGGAGTCCTGGTGTTAAATACAAATTTTTAAATAGGAACTGAATGCGTAAACAAAAATTCAGCCTATTCACAAAGGCATTTCCTCGAACGTTTGGTGACTTGTTTTCGTCAGCCAAATCATGTTGCACACATATCAATAAATAATAGCATATGCCGAAAGAATCTTATTAGTGATATAAAAAGAATTTATCCAATCCTATCGATACAATAATATGTTGAGATATGTCTATAATATATTTCATCAAACATTTAGTATACACACACAAAATTCGTACCAAACATTTAATCCTCGAAAGACCTCGTTCGCATATATATTTTTCAAACTTCGTTGTCCTGGGACAACCTTAGTCCCTACTTCCATCCGTCCTGGACGGTGGTGTCTTTTAGGTATTGTATGACATCATTTGATTTGATTTGGAGGAAAGTAGCTTGTCATATCTTACTTGTAGGAGAATATCGACGTTTATCGTCTACGTGCATCGATTAATTTTTTGGATTCTAACCCCATCCAGGATACTATTTTGTAACACTTTCGATTGTGACAACTTCGTAGATAAGAAAATAGCGTAAATTTTGCTAGCGTCAAATCCCACCCGCATTCAATTAAACATGATAAGAACTTTCATTTAATTAGACTAGACCTTGCGTCATGACAAATGTTATATTGGGCTCTAGAAGTCGGACAAAGATTGTCTGCCCTCCATTTTTGGTGTTATTTTCGTACCCTCCTGTTTGTGTGGTTACGATTAAATTATGTCAACATTTTATATTACTATTCATTTTTGTCTTATTATATCTATAAAAAACAATATAAAATGTTGACGTGGCTTAACCGTGACCATACAAAACAGGAGGGCACGGGAAGGACACCGGAAGTGGAGGGCAAACAATCCTTGTCCGTAGAAGTCAACTCCGCTACTGTTTATGAGGATTTTAGGTGAATAACAATTGTTAATTTGTCGGCGTTTTCCTTTTCATTTGTAAGTGAGAGATTTTATGTTTGATAACCACATTATTACTAGTTCATTATGAGGCTAAGCTCACCCCCATTTCTTAGTATAGATAATATCACTTCTTCAAAAAAAATAAAAAATAAAAAATCGTCGGCATTCTTGTTTCAAATAAACATCGACTTTTCATTTTGTTTTTGTCATAATTTTAAAATCAGCATTGATGAGTATTGGTTGCAAGAGGATCCCTAATCGAGTAATCATCAACCATGAGAAATTGGAATGAATTTGCTAAAGAAACGTAAAGATGATGCATGCATTTTAAAATTAATTTACAATTGATTTTTCAAGGCAAAAGGTGAAAGGAGAAATTTCAATAAAGATTATGGAAGCCTTTTGGACTGAAAATTCATCATTAAATATTCGATTTATGATTTTAGAATCGGTTGATGACCTTTCATGTAATTTTCTATTTTTTACCAAACGATAATCTTTACTAAGGAAAAGGATGTGAGTTTAGCCTCACAATACGCTAGCAATAATGTAGTTCAAACTCGCATTTGACGAGAATTGAATCTAAGATCTCTTACTTACAAGTGAAGAGGAATACCACTATACCATAGTAAGTGACTCATGTAAATTTATTTTTTAAAAGGAAAAAAAAATCATCATCAACTCATCAACTTTGGGACATTGCTCATGTATAAAAATAATACTTGGCAACTCAAATAATGAGTAAGAGTTCTTATTCAAAACTGTTCGTTGCAAATTCATAAAATTTCGTTTTTATGATTAGAACCGTTTATATTATTAATCAACCTATAAAGATTGCCTCTAAAAAAATCCATTAAAATTAATATCGTTTAGTCATTAAACTGTATAAAACCAGATGACTGGATTGGTAAAAGCATAACCGTCTATGTATTTTCTAGAATAAATTGACTAAACAACCTTTGCTTTAGGGAATTGTTATTGGTGCTCTAAAATTCTCATTTTACACTCCAATTTTTTTCTATTTAGAAAGAAAAATACATTCGTGAAGAATGCAAAATGAGAATTTTAAAGTGCTAATAACAATTCTTTTTCAATTCATTTTTGTAGAGACGATCTTTTCAAAGTGATTTACAATATGAAAGTTCTGATCATAAACACAAAGCTTTGTGATTCGAATATAAAGAATTTTGAGTAGAAGTTACTACTCATCTTTGAGTAGTCAAACATTGTTCCATGCACAATTCAAATGCTAATTGCAACAAGGAAAAGCACTCAAATGCATTTTTCATATCTTTTTTATATATTATTAAGGCTACCTAATCCATTAATTTCTATTAAATTCAATCATCAAAATGAATAAAATTTTCTCACAGCCTGCGATCTGCAAGCAGAAATTAGGTGTCAACATTAAAGATGAAGAAACTCCTCAAATGGGTGGTAGTTGGAGCATTTTATATTTTAATGTGGATAAATAATATATATGCATGTGTATATAAGGTACTGTATGCTTTTGATGCTTCCCA